AGCAAGCCGGCCCCCAGCAGCGACTTTTCAGCAGGACTGTCCTGCAAACTTGCCTGATGGCCCTTCTCCACGTTCCCTGCACCGCTGGGAGGGCGCCGGCGAGCCCAGCCCTGAAGGGGCGGAGCCTGCCCCTGCGCTTGCGCGCTCAGCCTGGCCGCTCCGGGCATGGGACTTTCAGGTGCGCGCTCTGCAAGCTCCAGTTTCTGCGCAGACACTCTGACGCGACGCGCCGTTGGGAAAGCGCAACGGGCTCGGCTCTCCACCCAAGGGCACTGCACGCCCAGCACCCGGCCATGTCGTCCTGCGCCCGCGTGGCGCTGGTCACCGGGGCCAACAAGGGCATCGGCTTCGCCATCGTGCGTGACCTCTGCCGGCAGTTTCCGGGGGACGTGGTCCTCACGGCGCGGAACACAGCACGGGGTCAGGCGGCCGTGCAGCAGCTGCAGGCCGAGGGCCTGAGCCCGCGCTTCCACCAGCTGGACATTGACGACCTGCAGAGCATCCGCGCCCTGCGCGACTTCCTGCTCAAGGAGTACGGGGGCCTCGACGTGCTGGTCAACAACGCGGGCATCGCCTTTAAGAGTAAGGGGCTGGGTGCTCCCAGGCGAGGCGTTCACCGCCGAGCATTTGCATCCGGGATGGGCCGTATCTGTCGGGGAATCGCTGCGGTGGGGCTTCTCCCGCATGTGGGGTCCAGAATAACTCCCTAGGGAACGAGAAGGGAACGGGGGAGGGGTGCAGCGAGAGCGGAGTCTGCAGGGAATTGGATGCTTTCTAGCCATAGGGAACTTTGCTTCTTTGGCTCGAATCCTGGGGACCTTTTCTAGATTGCCCCACAGCCTCTTTCTGATTGGACTTTGGGGCAGTTGGGTTAATTTTTAATGCATTTTGAAATAAACAAGAAAATTGCAAAAACTGATGCACAGAGATCCCGTGTGTGTGCACCCTTTGGGCAGCCCCCCCCCCCCCAGCAGTGGTACCATCTTACAAAACCATAGGCATTATCAAACCCTGAAAGTCACACTGGCACAATACTAACTAGACACAACTTTTACACAAAATTCAACAGATTTCACATGCACTGTTTTCTTTATATCTTCCTTTAGAATGTTACTTGAGGGCTTCCCTGGTGGCGCAGTGGTTGAGAATCCTCCTGCTAATTCAGGAGACACGGGTTCGAGCCCTGGTCTGGGAGGATCCCACGTGCTGCAGAGCAGTTAGGCCCGTGTGCCACAACTGCTGAGCCTGTGCTCTAGAGCCCGCGAGCCACAACTATTATTTAAAAAAAAAAAAAGAATGTTACTTGATGGCTACTATTTATTCACTCAACTTTTCTTTTCTCCTAAAAGCCATTGATTCCACACCGTTTCATATTCAAGCAGAAGTGACTATGAAAACAAACTTCTTTGGTACCCAAGATGTGTGCACAGAGCTCCTGCCTCTAGTAAAACCCCAAGGTGAGTCTGATGAAGAGCCCAAACTTCAGTGTTTCTGGCAAGATCTGGGCCCTGCCTGCGTCTGGTATCATCTACAGGCCCCCCTACCTCTCCTGCTCAGCTACACTGGCCTCCATCTGTGTCGCCATCCGGCCAGGTGCCCTGAGGCCTCAGGTTCCTCTAAACACAGCCCAGGTCATTGGTGCTGTCTGTCCAGCTGCTCTTTGCACATCTGGCTCTTTCTTTTTCCCATCTTAGCTCAAAGGTCTCCTCTGAAAGGCTTTTGATTTGCTCCATGCCCCCCACAGGCAGCGTTCCGTTAGGAGTCCATCTCAGGCCTTCTCTCCTCCGACCCCCTCTCAGAGTGAACTTACTCAGGCTAGTGGAGTCTCTACTCCCACCAGTTCATTAGGCCTCACTCAAATCTGTCACCTGCCTAGAACATTCCCAGAGCTCCAGGCACACATTGTGTCTTCTTGCCTCTCCATCTTAACCTGATTCCCATCCTTCCTCCCCTGAATCCCCCCATCTAAAACAAATATTTCTAAAGACTCGTCCTTTCCCCAAATCATCTTGGCCACTGATCCCATCATCCACCCACCAGGATCCTGGAGGTCACCACGCCTGCCCGCTTATTGCCATTTACCAGATCCTAAGACTTGTCCTACTGATTTTCTTCCCAGGCCTTCACCCCCATCCCAGCTCTACAGACGGGCCCTCAGCTGTCATTTCTAGACAATTGTAAACTCTCCTAAGGGTCTCTCCCCGCTTCTTGAGTCCTTTGCTTCCTGGGCATTCTCTATGCGCTACATGCTCACCCCCGCTCCCAAAAATCCTTCAGGAGTGAAGTCCAGGCCCTTAGCATGACTTGTAGGGATCTCCGTAGTCCGACCTGCCGAACTCCAGGTCCATTTTAACTGCCCTTCAACCTGCTCAGTGTTTCAAACAAAACAAACTCTCATATTCCTTTGGGTTAAACTACTATAATACTTACCCCCGAAGTAATGGGCCAGGAAGGGAACCACCACCCATTAAACATACCGAATAAGACAAGCAGAGACTTTTAGAAAGGTTAAGAGGCGTGGCTGGAGATTTATTTAGTACATGCATTTACAGTTTACACTCAGCTTCTGCCCTGTTTCCCCATCCTGTCCTCCTGGAAAGTTCTTCTAAGAATTGGTTCACTAGGACCTAAAAAGTCAGCTCTTTAGAGTGTCACCTGATTCCTCCACTTGTCCCAACACTTGAGGGCTGCAGTGGAGTTCCCTGTGTCAGCTGCACATGCTGAATTCCTCTTGACCTCGTGCTGAGACCTCTGGCCCACCACTTCTCTTACTTAGCTGGGCTGTTTCTTGCTGTCTCTGGGCTTTGTCCAGAAGGAGGAATGAGTACCCTCCAGATGTGCTAAGGCAGCCTCTGTTTAACAGCCTGTCTTGCCTCACGAAAGCTAGAGTAAATGGAATTTTAAATACATGCTATATTCTCAATATGAGTGCAGCAAGGTTTACTTGCCTTTTGAAATAGGAGAATTCTCATTTTGTTGGGGGAAAGCTACAGCAGTTCATGTTATCATGACTTAATCAAGCGCGTGATTCTCTTCTGAGTCTACAATCTCACCTGGTTGGGAGGACAGGGCTCCAGGTGGCTGGCTCTAATCCCTGGGGATCCAGTCAGTGGGCGGGGCTGGCACGGAACACATTGGGAAGATGAAGCAGCCACATCCAGGAGTTTATTACCTCGAGAGAACTTTGGATCTCCTGGTCAAGCTTCCCTAATACGGGTTAGTATTTTCACTGCTGATTCTAGACTTCCTGAGGTAGACTAGTTAACACAGAATAAAAAAGGTTGTCATTTGATTACTGATTATAACCAACCTAGAAGAAGTTAACAGTATTTCTCTGTCTACTGTCCAGGTTGAAGACCCATGAAAAAAATAATGTCAAGGCCCTTTTTTATTTTTGCGATATGCAGGCCTCTCCTGTTGCGGAGCACAGGCTCCGGACGCGCAGGCTTCGCGGCCATGGCTCACGGGCCCAGCCGCTCCGTGGCATGTGGGATCTTCCCGGACCGGGGCACGAACTCATGTCCCCTGCATCGGCAGGCAGACTCTCAACCACTGCGCCACCAGGGAAGCCCAAGGCCCTTTTATTAGTAGTAATATAGCTGCCTTTCCCGTTTACCAGTTAACCATTCTGACTTCCACTCCTGCAGGCTTTTTTTCTTTCTTTATGCCTTTCTATATTTTGCTTTTTTTTTTTTTTTTGCGGTATGCGGGCCTCTCACTGATGTGGCCTCTCCCGTTGCAGAGCACAGGCTCCGGATGTGCAGGCCCAGCAGCCATGGCTCATGGCTCATGGCTCATGCCGCTCTGCGGCATGTGGGATCTTCCCGGACCGGGGCACGAACCCGTGTCCCTTGCATCGGCAGGCGGACTCTCAACCACTGCGCCACCAGGGAAGCCCTATATTTTGCATTTTGAATTCATGAAATATGTATTATTTTTGTTCTGACAGAGGCTTGGTCATGTTTTTGAGAGCAAAATAGATTATCCTAAATATAGCATCTCTGAATGGTGCTTACTGCAACATTTTGACAAATTGGTTCTATCTTAAGGACAATGTCATTTCTATTAATTTACTAGTTGCTTCTTACTCTTTACATGTTCTGGATTAGAAGGAGGACATGGAATAATCGACCCGTTTCAAAAATGTGTTCATCTTAGAAGAATGCCCAGAAGATTAATATGGCAATTTCTCTAAATCAGTTTATGTATTTCAGAGAATCATTGAATGGGAGTCCTAATGCCATCTACTAATTTATTTGTTGATATTTTCTGAACTTCCAAACCTTTAGTGGGATAGACATCAAAGCTAACTGACTATGGCAGCATGACACGCCATTTCTGTTGCCACATTTTTTCCCCATGGAAAAAAAGGGTTTAACATTTTTGTCCATGCCTGGTAATTTTTGGTTGGAAACAGGACATTGCAGAATTTTATAGCTACTCTTCCTATTAGACCCTACTTCCCACGGGCTTGTGGTTGTTATTTGCTTATTTGTTCAGTGACTGGCTACATTATTTTTTGAAGTTGAGTCTCCGCCCTCCTCCCCTCGCAGTGTGAAGTCTCTGATGTTTCATCTCAGAAAGTACAGCCAAGCTGAGACGCACAGTCACACTGGGATTACTGTGGGTTTAGCAGAACTCTCTTTTGCTGTCTTTTTCCTGCACCGCACCCAGCTGTTAAGCTCCACTGCTTGCTGGCTGATTACTCCACTGTTTTTAACAAGGCACAGCATAAATTGCTTCACAGATGGATCTCCATCCAATTAAATTCAGGCTCTTTTGAAAGGGTAGTTTTGGTGCTCTGTTCTGAACCCAGAAGGGCTCTTATCCTTATCTTTCTCTAGTTTTCTCTGGCAAACTTGCTGACTTCCATGATTTAGTTTATATTTCTAACAAAGCTACCAACCTCCTAATTGCTTTTCAGCACAACTTGCATTGTTTTTGAGAGTGCCCTTAGGGTCGAACTTCCCCACACTCTTT